TAGAAAATGTTTGAGGGAACTTGTATCCAAATTCACAACTACGGGTAGTGTACATAACAAAAAGCCCCCAAGTCATCCGTCCATTCCGGAAGAATAGCAAGTGCAAATAATTGGTGAGATGGTAGTAACATTTTGGTACATTTTTTTAATCGGGAATGTTCACAGACAAAATTGCCGTTATTGGAGTGACACCAACCCTTACGTTTTTCGGGAAACACATACCCAATATCCGGAAAAAATGACGTTTGGGCAGGAATATTGGGAAACCATATTGTAGGACCTCTATTTATTGATCATAATTTAACAGGGGAGCTGTATTTGAATATGTGGGAAACTACTGTTGTCCCTCTCATCACTGAAATCGTCGAAGCGAATCCTAATGAATTCGATATGGATATTGTATTCCAACAAGATGCAGCACCACCACATTACTTCAAACAAATAAGAAACTATTTGGATACTACTTGTCCCAGTCGTTGGATTGGCCGTCGAGGTCCTACAGGATGGTCAGCCTGCCGGCAAGATTTGACACCTTTGTACTTTTTTTATGGGGCTATTTGAAGCAAAAGGTGTACGAAATTGAACCTTTTTCAATATTGGATATAAGGCAGAAAATAAAGAATATTTGTAGAGATATTGACGTTATTGTGTTCGAAAATATTCGCCGTGAAATATCGGATAGGCTGTTCATATGTCAAGAAGTTCAAGGCAACCATTTCCAGCATCTTCTGAACTGACCTCAAGCTTATTACCTCACATCATGTAGTTAAATGTCAAGACTCCCTTTCCATTCAATTCTTTTTTCTCAGATGGCGCCTGGTCGCCATCTTGAAAATTTCATCTGTCAATTTCACTTCGAAATAAAGTGTCATGTATTAATTTCATTATCCCAAATTTCAATTTTTTGGGTTGACCTGTTCAAAAAATAAAAGAGAGGGGGACATTTGAGAAATCCACTGTATAAATAATATAATGTGCAGTGCTTTCATTTGAAGTCCACCAAGGTCAGGTCAGTTTTTTTTATTTATTTATTCACGGGTAACTCCCATTTAATATGAGTTATACAAATAAGTTATGGTAGTAATATTCAAAATATTACAGAAATCAATAGTGCTTTATATAGAAAATTGAAAAATAGTTTCTGAATGGATTGCAACAAAGGAAGAACGTTATTTTGTTGTTCCCTACGTAGTTGAATAAATTATCTATCTATCTATGGGAAAACCATTATATCATCTAATGATTCAATATCTAGAATGAATATTTCATTTATGAAATGTTTGGCTTCTTCTGAAATTCCAATTTTGAAAAGAAGGCACTGTAATATAATTTTGAATCTTTAAAGAGAATAACAAGTTATGATTGGTTAACATTTTCTTTTTAAGTGAAGATTTTAGTAATCTCAGGTCAGAATTTATTCACCCTTTGATAGTTGAATATGTAATATTTCATTTCAGATGAGGAAGTCATACCACAAGAGTTTAGAGAAATATGGTCACTGCAGGTTAGCAAATTGTTCTCATGCCTAGGAGACCCGACCTGCAATAATTTTCGCCGACCTGCAAAATGTATTTCCAATTTTTTAAGAATTGTGTAACTTTTGGATGGTTGGAAAATTTTTCTGTCGAAAATGATTAACCTGGTCGAGATTCATGTCTGGCAGACCCGACCTGCAGGAATTTCTGCCGACCTGCAAGATTTATTGTCAATATAATGACATGTAGTGAATTTTCACTACATGGTACATACTTCAATAGTCGTAGATAAAAGATTATTTTGTGATTAAAAACACTTTATTCATTGAGTCGAATATTCTTTACTGCAACTTTTCCATTTCAGTATTGAAAAAAAAAACATCTTCAAAGTTAACACTTTTTGTGTAACACTAAAATCAACCTACTTTCAAGTTAGCATTTTCATTATTCCTATTCGAAGTATTTTGGAAATTAAAGCTTTTATTTTTTTTAGGTTCTGTAATATTTGTGCAGGTAATAATGAAAAACAAGGTACATTCAACAGAACTGTTTCAAAAAGGGGTTTGCCTGAATGGATCATAGATATTCGACATGATATTGCTCACGGTCATAAATTACCTTCAAAGTGCATGTTGAAACTTGCTCTCGAAGAGTCACTAGATTGGTTGATGGAAAAATACTGGGCTGTTCAAAATGAAAAATTGAAGGACTTTATCGTTCCAAAGAAAAAAATCGATCCGTTGCATATGTACATGAATATGAAACTTGATGTATTTAGAGATGCGAACGTGGATCAATACGATGAGGCGTGCTTGGAAAAACTGAATAATTTGATTTCCAAAAAGAAAAGGAAATCTAAATCAGATATAAATGGATTCTTAACTTCCTTGGAAAAAGTACTGAAGCAATCGTTTGCTCATTCTAATCGTCAAATTATGGGTACTAAAGTAGCACAAATACTGGCGTCCAAAAATGGATTATTATCTACCAACCTTGAATTAACAGATGAGAGTAAGATTTCACAAGTTTTTTATTCATTTGTATTTACTAGAAATTCATTATAAAAAAATTGCTTGGGAATATTAGTATGTGATTGTTACAGTGCATTTCCTTAATGTCCCCATTTTATTTTTTGAAGGGGTCAACTCGCAAAATTGAAATGTGGGATACTGAAATTAATGCATGAATACTTAATTTTGGAGTGAAATTGACAGGTGAAACTTTCAAGAAGGCGACTGGGAGCCATATTGGAAAAAAAATGTAATGGAAAGGGGATCTTGTGACACATAATTTTGCCAATGTCTTCACCTACTACAAAATGGCGGAACATTTAATAATTTCCTGAAGACAAACACGTTAATATTGATATTTCTAGAAATATTCCTTTTTATCTGCCATACGGCAATTCCAACAACCCGATGAGGTTTGTTAAGTTATTTTTTGTTTGTAAAAACTACAAAAAATGTCAGTACGACAATAAACATCATTGTTCAGTTGGAATATTCTCAATTAGTTTTCGGTTTTACTACTAGAAAGGTACCACTTCAACAATATCTAAAATGGTCAATTTTTGTCCATTGGAAGAAAAAATTGAAGCGATTTTATTTGCTAACATTAAGAAAATATATAAAATTAATATGCTTATCACATTTTCCTGGCGGATCACCAATATTCTTCTTTTTTATAGATGTGGAAGGTTGGTTCAATTGAAGTTCTGTAGTTGATGTTGCAATTGAAAATTTGATGTTTCTTGCTCTTCGTTCCTGAGTCGGTCAAGGTATTTTTCCTCTTTTCTAAAATCAAATCTACACACTGCCAGCTAATTGATTAGTTCAAAGTTTATCATTCAACTGTACTTTATTTGCAAGGGCAACTTTATCATTTTTTACAAATTAGCTTTCTCATAGAAACCTTGAACTGAAACATCTGGTGTAGGATAAATCCAAAACAAACACTGCTCTCACAAACCAGAATGGCAACACTCTTTTCTGCGCTCATTTCACCAATCAAATTTGCATCATCAAGAGATGAAATATACCTACTTCACACTTTAACTTCGCCTATTTATATACTTTCACTTTCGAGTTATACATCAATGATTTTTTGAGTACATTAGCAGGAAAATTCTCTCTTGATTTTTTAAATTATTTCATATAAAATTATCCGATGGGCTGGCTGTTTGGAATGGGATATTTGTTGTTCTTAGTTCCCTTGTTCACTTCACTATTTCCATACTAGTATCAAGCGACACTGAACTTTTCTAGTTTCTGATATATGTAACGTGTTCTGCAAAACAAGTTTCAACAGCTTGTTCAGTCTGAATAACGTTATTTTGTTCATCACAGTCCTCACAACTTATTTCATATATTTCTGACTTATCAGGTTCCATCATATTTTCTTTAAAAATATGGTATTCCGGTTTAAATTGATGATGTATAAGAATGAACTATGGCTAAGCCTTTTCACTGAAAAGTCATGAATTTAAGAAGATGTTTCCTTATTTACGTGCCCTAATTAACTTATTTACTATCTTTAAAGGATACCCGTTGCTTTCGTCTATGATCATGATGATAATTTTCTTAATATCGTATCATTCATGACTTAACACTTTCACTGCATATATTTTGAAGATAGTGTATGCTTGGTACTGCACAATAATGTTTACACACTCTATGACTCAACTATTTTTTGTTGTGGACAATGGTAGGCACTGAATCTAAATGTACTAATATTTTTTCTCTAAACATAAATTCTACACTCTGGTTACTAAATGGTGAGGACAAGGGAACTCTCGGAGAACAGGGCCATTGAATCTGGTGTACCACAGGGTTCTGTGTTAGGCCCTATTCTGTTTCTGTTATATATGAATGACATATCTATGATTAANGTTGCGAACTCTTTACAAACAAGTGTTTTTCCTTGGAAGTTTCCCACATTTTTTGTGTAAAGATGAAAAGTAGGAAGCCAAAATCTCATTCATAAAAAATTATGTATAAGGAAGTATGCGTACTAATAGATGTTTTTTGATCAATAGGTAGGACGGTAATCTGGTGGGTTGTGTGGTTTCCTCCACTCATTCAATCGACCGCTGTGTGAACCGGTGGTTCGAATCACAAGTCCGGACGTTCGATTTTCACTTTCTACCGTCCAACCCGAGTTGGAAATCACAAGAATAAAGGTAAGACCTCGTTAGTCCTTAGCTCGCACAAGTTTCGAATTTTGAGAGTTGTCGTTTGTAGAGGGGTGACAGATGGTTTTACAAAAAAACATATTTTAATAGATTTTAATAACTGAATCAGTAAATAAACATTTCACCAAGTTTAATATTGCAGATATTCAGAATTTAAAACAAGATCTTCAAAGAGCATCAAACTTCCTAAAACAATTCGGATCTCCCGAAACTGTAACACCAAAATTTAAAGTTTTTATTGGGCAGTAAAATGATTGGTTTGTCTCGTACGCGCGATGTTCGAATTGGTGGCTTCAACAAAAAAAAATATTTCAAGCATTGAACATTTTCATTTCAAATATCCCTGATCGGTAACGTGTGATTACTAACACTGAAAGCTATAATAACATGATTTTAGTAATTTTTCATTCATATTGTTTGAAAAATTGTCATGAAACAAATATATTTGTTATGAATTAATTGAATTGTTTCAAGAATCTGATTTTAAAAAACTCATTGCACAAAAGCGCACTTACTGATTAACTTTTTATTTTCGCCAGTGAACAACCGGATACAACATTTTTCTTGACGGTTCAATTCGAATTTTTCTTTTCTTCACCCGGTTAATATAAAGGGGAAAATCAGAATATTCTGAATTTTACGATTTGGATCTCTTACGCCTCAATGATAGACTCAAAGTGAAAAAATTGAGGTCTAAGCTTAAGAAATATCTCGGTTCATACATAATTCTCAAATTTTTATTAACTCAACAAAAGCATGATTGAAAAACTAATAGCGATATTTTGGAAGTAATGTTATTCAGTACGTTTAATATAGACATAAGACACTGATGAATAACCGCTGACAAGACTTTGTTTTTATTTTACCATTTGGCTTAGTTTGAATATGTCTGGTAGATGTTGTATCAGAACGATAAACTTTCCGTTGGTTATGGCCAAGAAATATAGAATATCCCTGACTGGTATGATCGTTTAGAACTCTTCCCAATGTGAAAAAACTTGTCAGAAACTCTCGACCTACGGCACTCTTGAAAAATAAATAATATTTTTTCGAATGTCCAATCAGGATGTGTATCGAATGTTAATGAAATTAATCCTCCCTTGAACTTCCCAACCATTCTAAGAAATATAATCTGAAAATATTTGAATTATTCATCAATTTCTCAGCATATAATAAAATCGAATTATAGGGAAATAACAATATAAAGAGTAGAGAGTAGGGGAAAAACAAACTGCATGAGAAGAAATAATGAAAACAATATAGAAAATTGAAAAATATTTATTAAGTAACTATTCCATCTTCTACATTTTCCATCCTGGGTTCTTTCGGTTGATGCTTCATAGCTGCCTTGAAGCGAGAAGAGTATATCTTCTATTTAGTTTTTGAGATGAATCAGATCCGACAGTTTTCATTTGGCTTTGGTCCTAGGTATATTTTGTTGATATTAGGCTTATTTCAGATTGGATCATTCCCAACAAAAGGTATTGGCTGTTCTGCTTGATCAAGTAGCATCGAGCAAAGAATAACATCGACATAACCTTGGTTATGTCGATGGCTGGGACTAAAATTAATAAGAAGAAGAACTAACCCTAACCCTATCCTAACCTAACCAAACATTATTTTGAGCCTAAAAAAAATAAACAAGTAGGTACAAGATTAGAGGGGCCCAGGAATTTGGAATGGCTTATTCTCAAAAACATAAAGGAAAAGTGCTTGTTCCTTGGTTCAACAGGTGAGATATTTTTTCTTTAAGGTTAGAAGCAATTTATTAACTGAAAATGAATGTATATTATTCTATAGAAATTAACCAAATATTTTTAGTGAGGAATGGAGAACTATCTACTCTATGTTGTTAACCAAAACAAGAGATAATTATGAAAAGGCAGTGAGAATCATGAAAATTTGGAAAATTCGCACACCATTATTATCAGCGGGAATTGAAGGGACCATTATTATATTGGAAGCACTGTTGTGTGATGAACTAAATTTATCCAAGACCCAACTGATCAACACATACACAGTGTCTTTATTGAGGTAAAGTTGTCAAGTTATTTCCTAAATATATTTGTTTTACTACCATTTGGTAACGGCTTCAAGTTGTTCAGTTGATAAAAAACCTTTTGATTTGAAAGTTATCAGGAAACGATCATTTTGATATTTTACACATCACATGTTTGGAATTCAATTATTGAGTTATAACATAATTATTATTTTGATAACAACTTTTTACGGAAAAGAAACAAAAGTAGGGTATTTCTAGAAAAACTTGATTTGTTTATCATGATTTCTTTGTAATAGATTGCCAATATCTGTGTTATTTTTTGTAAAACGCATTTTTCGTTTTATTTTCAATACAATAAAGAAATGTATAACTTGATGCAAA